CTACTGCAGTACTACACAGTGAGTATGAGACTAGTACTAGTACTGCAGTCGTGTTGTTGTATTTATTTATTTATTTGTTTGTCTCCAGCAGCTGCTCCTCCAGACTGGAGCAGGTTTTAGTGACATGTAGTACTTTTACTGCAGTACTACTGTAGTACTGTCATACTGTAGTACTGTAGTACTGTCATACTGTAGTACTGTAATACTGTAATACTGTAGTACTGTAGTACTGTAATACTGTAGTACTGTAGTACTGTAATACTGTAGTACTGTATACTGCAGTACTGTAGTACTGTAATACTGTAGTACTGTAGTACTGTAATACTGCAGTACTGTAGTACTGTAATACTGTAGTACTGTAATACTGCAGTACTGTAGTACTGTAATACTGTAGTACTGTACTACTGCAGTACTGTAGTACTGTAATACTGTACTACTGCAGTAGTACTACAGTAGTACTGGGGCTGTGCACAGAGGCGTGTTTAGCTCAAGGGCACAAACACACTGAGGTTTAGAACAAACCTGCCACAGTCAGAGGTCAGAGGTCAGCTCCTGGTGTTTCTGTGTGACCTGTGGCCCTGTCCTCTGATTGGTCCTGATTGTCCTTGTGTCCTCTGATTGGTCCTCTCCTTGTGTCCTGTCCTCTGATTGGTCCTCTCCTTGTGTCCTGTCCTCTGATTGGTCCTCTCTCTCTTTCTCCTCAGCTGTGATTGGTGGAAGATGATGTCGTTGGACAAACCCTCGGCTCTGGTCCAATCGGAGCCGAAGCCCCGCCCCGTCTCCTCTCAGCCAATGGGGAAGCGGCGCTGCTCGGTGGGCGGCGGCTTCAGGGCCCCGCCCAAACGCCGTCGCCGCGCCAACAGCGAGAGCCAATCAGAGTCCATCCGGCCCAGCCACTTCCTGTTGGGAGGAAACATCTTCGACCCCCTGAACCTGAACTCGCTCCTGAACGACGAGGTCAACAGGTCAGTGACCCCCCCCCCCCCCCGACCCCCATAAGTTTGAGTTGTACAGTTGTAGGGAGTATTATCTCAGGTCAGATTCAAATTAAACAAAAATGTCCAGATTTTCAAAATAAAAGTTTGAGACACTCTGGGTTCAAAATAAAACTGTGACTCGAGTCGTGATGAAGTAAAACTGTTTTGCACTCGGGTCATTCACCATGAACTCGAGTCACTCTAGTCACATTTTCTTTGTGTTTTGTCGTTTTTCTGTATTTGACCCAAACAAAAGTCAGTTTCTGTTTCTCTTTACTGATTCAGGATCAGATTTGTCCAAAACAGAGACACTGGGACACGACTGTGACCAGACTGTGACCAGACTCTGACCAGACTGTGACCAGACTCTCTGAACCAGACCTGGGCCTGGTCCAGTTTCACTCTCGGTTCTTTTGGTCGACACAAAACAAACAGATTTGACAGAAACTGAAACATCCTGATGTGGTTTTGTTAAAAGTCTTTTTAATCTCGTCAGAATATTTCTAATCACAAGTTTCTTTGTTTAAATTCAGGTTTTACAGAAATAACAGTTTATAAACATCAGAACTACATTTCCCATGATTCACTTCAGCGCAGACGACATGAACAAACATGTTTGGACTTGAAGTTTTGTGATTATGACAGAAATAATTCACACCAAAATCATGTCAGGATTTTAAAAACAAAACATTGATATCATTGATATCATCCTCTTTCAAATGTGACGGTAAATACATATATATATATATATATATATATATATACTTTATATATATATATAAATATAAATAGAAGTATATATATATTGTAGTTTGAGATTTGGAGATCGTCACATCATTAATATTTTTATTTTTTTACCTCGAGCTGCTTCACTTTTATCTCGTGTTTTTTAAAATAACAGTTTTTTGTTCAGCAGTTTCACTTTTTCATGAGTCAAACAGAAACTTTTGAGTCTGAGCAGCGACACGACAAAAACTTTTACTCATTTGATCAACAAACACAAGTTTATTCAATCAAATCAATCAATCAATCAATAAAGTCATATTTACACAGAAGAGTTCAACATTTTAACTCCACAATAATTTCACTTTCTCCTGTGGCCCCAGAAAAAAAAGAACTTAAACTTACACTTAAACTTAGACCTGGACTTGGACCTGGACCTGGACCTGGACCTTGGACCTGGACCTGGACCCGGACCCTGTTGCTCACAGGTTCAGGTCTGTGGACTCTGAGCTCCTCCTGGTCTGAACAAACTTCAGTTTAAAGTGGTTTAGTCGGTTCTTCTGGTTTAGTCCTGGTTAGTTCAGCTTTACTGGTTTAGTTTAGTCCTGGTTTAGTCTGGTTTAGTTCTGGTTTAGTCCTGGTTTAGTCGTTCTGGTTTAGTTAGTCTGGTTTAGTTCTGTTTAGTTCTGGTTTAGTCCTGGTTTAGTCTGGTTTAGTTCTGGTTTAGTCCCTTCTGGTTTAGTTTAGTCTTTAGTTCTGTTAGTTTAGTCCTGGTTTAGTTCTGGTTTAGTTTTCCTGGTTTAGTCCTGGTTTAGTTTTCTGGTTTAGTTTAGTCTCTGGTTTAGTTCTGGTTTAGTCCTGGTTTAGTCCTGGTTTAGTCCTGGGTTAGTCCTGGTTTAGTCCTGGTTTAGTCCTGGTTTAGTTCCTGGTTTCTGGGTTAGTCCTGGTTTAGTTCTAGTCCTGGTTTAGTGGTTAGTCCTGGTTTAGTCCTGGTTTAGTTCCTGGTTTAGTCCTGGTTTAGTTCTGTTTAGTCCTGGTTTAGTTCTGGTTTAGTTCCTGGTTTAGTCTGGTTTAGTTCTGGTTTAGTTCTGGTTTAGTCTGGTTTAGTCCTGGTTTAGTCCTGGTTTAGTCCTGGTTTAGTTCTGGTTTAGTCCTGGTTTAGTCCTGGTTTAGTTCTGGTTTAGTCCTGGTTTATTCTGGTTTTCCTGGTTTAGTCCTGGTTTAGTTCTGGTTTAGTCCTGGTTTAGTTCTGGTTTAGTTCCTAGGGTTAGTTCTGGTTTAGTTCTGGTTTAGTCCTTAGGGTTTAGTTCCTGGGTTTTAGTCCTGGTTTAGTTCTGGTTTAGGGCCGCCTCCTGGGGGAGCCTCGGTGAGTGACCCGCCGCCGTCCAGCTGACCCCTGAGACCCGCCGACATCAGACCCTACCTGCGGGGCCAACAGACGCCCACCGCACCCCACAGCCACAGTACTTCAGAAAGTACTACCACTACTACAACTACTGCAGCCAGTACTACAGAGCAGACCACAGCCAGTACTGCACACAGTACTGCACAAAGTACTACAGACTCCACACAGCACACAGTACTGCACACAGTACACACACAGTCACAGTACACACAGTACTACACACAGTACTACACAGTACTACACACAGTACTAACACAGTACTGCACACAGTACAGACAGACACACAGTACTAACAGTAACACACAGTACTGCACAGTACTACACACAGTACTGCACACAGTACTACACACAGTACTGCACTCACAGTACTACACAGTACACACAGTACTACACACAGTTACTACACACAGTACTACACACAGTACTACACACAGTACTACACACACACAGTACACACAGTACTGCCACAGTACACACAGTACACGTATGCACACAGTACTGCACACACAGTACTGCACACAGTACTGCACACAGTACTGCACAGTACTACACACAGGTACACACAGTACTGCACACAGTACACACAGTACAGTATCACACAGTACTGCACACAGTGCACACAGTACACACAGCAGTACACACAGTACTACACACAGCACAAGTACACACAGTACTGCACACAGTACACACAGTACTACACACAGTACTACACAGTACTACACACAGTACTACACACAGTACTGCACACAGTACTGCACACAGTACTACACACAGTACTGCACACAGTACACACAGTACTGCACAAGTACACAGCACACTACACACACAGTACACAGTACTACATACAGTACACACAGTACTGCACACAGTACAGTACACACAGTACTACACACACAGTACTACACACAGTACAGTACTGCACACAGTACTGCACACAGCACACAGTACTACACACGTACTGCACACAGTACTGCACACAGTACTACACACACTACACAGTACTACACACAGTACTACACACAGTACACACTCACACAGTACTGCACACAGTACTGCACACAGCACACAGTACTACACACAGTACTACACACAGTACTGCACACAGTACTACACACAGTACACACACACAGTACTACACACAGTACTACACACAGTACTGCACACACAGTACTACACACAGTACTACACACAGTACTACACAGTACTACACACAGTACTGCACACAGTACTGCACACAGTACTACACACAGTAGTACTACACACAGTACTGCACACAGTACTACACACAGTACTGCACACAGTACTACACAGTACTACACTACACACTGCACACAGTACTGACACACAGTACTACACAGTACTGCACACACACACACAGTACTGCACACAGTACTGCACACAGTACTGACACACAGTACTACACAGTACTGCACACAGTACACACAGTACTACACACAGTACTACACAGTACTGCACAGTACACACAGTACTACACACAGTACTACACACAGTACTACACACAGTACTGCACACAGTACTGCACACAGTACTACACACAGTACTACACACAGTACTGCACACAGTACTACACACAGTACTACACACAGTACTACACACAGTACTACACACAGTACTACACAGTACTACACACAGTACTACACACAGTACTACACACAGTACTACACACAGTACTACACACAGTACTACACACAGTACTACACACAGTACTACACACAGTACTACACACAGTACTACACACAGTACTGCACACAGTACTACACACAGTACTACACACAGTACTACACACAGTACTACACACAGTACTACACACAGTACTGCACACAGTACTGCACACAGTACTACACACAGTACTACACACACAGTACTACTACACAGTACTACACAGTACTACACACAGTACTACACACAGTACTACACACAGTACTACACACAGTACTACACACAGTACTGCACACAGTATACACACAGTACTACACACAGTACACACACAGTACTACACACACAGTACTACACACAGTACTACACACAAGTACTACACACAGTACTACACACAGTACTACACACAGTACTACACACACAGTACTACACATACAGTACACAGTACAGACACACAGTACACACAAGTACTACACAGTACTGCACACAGTACACACACTACACACAGTACACACAGTACTACACCACAGTACACACAGTACTGCACACTACACACAGTACTGTACACACAGTACTGCACACAGTTACTACACAGTACTACACACAGTACTACACACAGTACTACACACAGTACTACACACAGTACTACTGCACAGTACACACAGTACTACACACAGTACTGTACTGCACACAGTAATACACACAGTACTACACACAGTACTACACACAGTACTACTACACAGTACTACACACAGTACTACACACAGTACACACAGTACAGTACTACACACAGTACTGCACACAGTACTGCACACAGTACTACACACAAGTACTACACACTACACACAGTACTACACACAGTACTAGTACTACACACAGTACTACACACAGTACTACACACAGTACTGCACACAGTACTACACACAGTACTACACACAGTACTACACACAGTACTACACAGTAAACACACAGTACAGTACTCACACAGTACACACAGTACTACACACAGTACTACACACACACAGTACTACACACAGTACTACTAGTACACACAGTACTACACAGTACTACACACAGTACTACACACAGTCACACTACACACAGTACACACAGTACTACACACAGTACTACACACAGTACAGTACTACACACAGTACTACACACAGTACTAACACAGTACACACACATACTACTACACACAGTACACACAGTACTACACACAGTACTGCACACAGTACTGCACACAGTAATACACACAGTACTACACACAGTACTGCACACAGTACTGCACACAGTACTACACACAGTACTACACACAGTACTACACACAGTACTGCACACAGTACTACACAGTACTACACACAGTACTACACACAGTACTGCACACAGTACTACACACAGTACTACACACAGTACTACACACAGTACTACACACAGTACTACACACAGTACTACTACACACAGTACTACTACAACAGTACTACACACAGTACTACACACAGTACACACAGTACTAACACACAGTACTACACACAGTACTACAGTACTACACACAGTACTACACACAGTACTGCACACAGTACTACACACAGTACTACACACAGTACTACACAGTACTACACACAGTACTACACACAGTACTACAGACTCCACCGCAGGTACACACCGAGTACTTTCACACACCGAGTACTTTCACACAGAGTACTTATTGAACTGGAGGAGGATGGGGAGTATTAGTAGTATTTGTAGTAAAAGTACTTCTTCACAGACTCGTCTCCGTTATGGTGCGAGCTGAACACGGCGCTCACCTGTCGGGACGACTTGGCTCCGCCCCCTCAGCGCAGACACACCCACCCCCCCCTGAGCGGAGGAAACCGACGGCGACGCACCGCCTCCTCCTGCGTCACCACGGCGACCGCCAAGACTCAGCCAATCCGCTTCGAGACGCCGCAGGTGGGAGGAGCCAAGACCGACGGGTGAGTCACAGATCCCCCCACATCCCCCATCCCCGCCCACCGCCCCCATCCCCCCCCCCACCACCCCCCCATCCCGCCCACCGCCCCCCCCCCCCCCGGGTTTAGACCGAGTTTAGACCGAGTTTAGTTTAGACCAGGTTTAGACCAGGTTTAGACCGGGTTTAGACCGGTTTAGACCAGGTTTAGACCAGAGTTTAGACCAGTTTAGACCAGGTTTAGACCGAGTTTAGACCAGGTTTAGACCAGAGGTTTAGACCAGGTTTAGACCAGGTTTAGACCGAGTTTAGACCGAGTTTAGACCAGGTTTAGACCGAGTTTAGACCGAGTTTAGACCAGGTTTAGACCAGGTTTAGACCAGGTTTAGACCAGGTTTAGACCGAGGTTTAGACCGAGTTTAGACCGAGTTTAGACCGAGTTTAGACCAGGTTTCACCGGTTTAGACCGAGTTTAGACCAGGTTTAGACCAGGTTTAGACCAGGTTTAGACCAGGTTTAGACCAGGTTTAGACCGAGTTTAGACCGAGTTTAGGGTTTAGACCAGGTTTAGACCGAGTTTAGACCAGTTTAGACCAGGTTTAGACCAGGTTTAGACCAGGTTTAGACCGAGTTTAGACCGAGGTTTAGACCAGGTTTAGACCGAGTTTAGACCGAGTTTAGACCTGGTTTAGACCGAGGGTTTAGATCAGGTTCAGACCGAGTTTAGACCAGGTTTAGATCAGGTTCAGACCCTCTGTTTGACCCAGATGCCCTCCCTGTGTTGCAGCGCGTGGCTCCGCCCCTCAGGTCGGCGTCCGCGGGCGAAGGATCGGTGTCGGTATCAGTTTGGAAACTTCAGTAAGTTTTACGGTTTCCGCGGTTGCTACGGCGACGGCGAGGGCGCGGTGGGCGGGGCTGACGCGCGGCTCGCCCTGCTGGAGCCCGCCTGGTTCAGGGGCCGGCGGGCGCTCGACCTCGGCTGCGGCGCCGGTCACGTCACGCTGTTCGTCGCTCGATCCTTTTGCCCCGCCCACATCCTGGGGGTGGAGCTGGACAAACACCTGGTGCACGCAGCCAATCAGAACGTCCGACACTTCCTGTCACATGACCTGGTGCAAGCGGAGCGGGCGAGGAGACGAGGGGACGAGGACACGAGGGAGGAGACGAGGAAGGATCAGAACCAGGTTCAGGACCAGGTTCAGGACCAGGTTCAGGACCAGGACCAGGTTCAGGACCAGGTTCAGGACCAGGTTCAGGACCAGGTTCAGGACCAGGTTCAGGACCAGGTTCAGGACCAGGTTCAGGACCAGGTTCAGGACCAGGACTTGTGTGAGCTGCAGAGGATCCTGTCGTCTCTGTCGTTCCCTCAGTCGTTCAGAGTCACTCGAGGTCCCCTGTCTGCTCCTCTGCTCCCCCCGACCCGGACCCAGGACCGGACCAGAGACCAGACCCAGGACCAGACCCAGGACCAGACCCAGGACCAGACCCAGGACCAGACCCAGGACCAGACCCAGGACCAGACCCAGGACTCGTCTGTGGACTTCCCTCACAACGTCACGTTTCTCCAGGTGAGTCTGAGTCAAACTGAGGTTAAGATCAGAACCTGCACCAGTCGAGTCGTGACTTGAGACTCTGACCTTGTTTTGTTTTGAGGCGATGAGGAGATTTTGAGTTTTATTTACACACTTGATATTTTACACTTTTGTAGCTAAAACACAAAATTAAACATTTTTACGTCCAGAAAGTTGTTTCTACATGTTTGTGTTTGTGGACCTGTAGTTTTTATTCCAGCCACAACACGAGTCGACGACTCGAGTCCAGCAGCAGATTGTGAAATAACAGAATGTAGTGAACAAAAGGACGTGTAACTTTTCTTTTTTTTTATAATGTATTTTTCTTTAGTTTTAATGAAAAGGTGAACAACACAAAACATTGAACACGACAGAGAGAGAAACTAATTTAACAGACTCCATGTTTTTATATCACATTTAAATTTAAATAATATTTCAATAATATGACGGCACTTCTGTCCAAATGTTCTTTTTTTCCATTTTCTTAGTTTCATGTATCATTTCTGACCAGGTTTGAGTCTTTGATCGATGTTTGTGTCTGTGTTTCCCTGTGAATCGTGGCCACTTTGGTTTTCGTGTTATAAAAAAATCGTGATATATTTTTATATCTGTGATTTTGTGCTCGTCCGTTGAGATGTTTATATATTTTCCCATTCTTCATCTGTCACTGTAAAATGACCTGAACTTTCCCATTTCTTTTTAATATATTTAGTGTTGAGCCAGAAGATTCATGCATTTATACAGTTTAGTTATTATTCTTATTATTCTTATTATTAGTTCTGCTTCATGTGTCTTAATAAACTTTTGGATCAGAGGATTGTAGTTTCAGAATTGCTTTGCTTCAGGTTTTGGTTGTAATAACTTCTTATCTTAAGTAAGATTCCTTTAACGTGTGATTTCCTTCTATAATCTGGTAAAACCTTTTTAAACCTTTTATTATCCAGACCTTTAATCTTATGTCTGTGCCATTTGGTACAAAGCTTTGGTCAGAAACCATCTTAAGATTTTCACATCTTTATTTGTAACTTTTCATTAGGGGTAAAAAACAAAACAATTAAGAACATAAAACAGACGACGACAAAAGAAAAGTGCCTCAGGTTGATTTCCCCACAGGAGGAAACATCTCCTCGTTTCTACCTGCAGCAGGTTTAAGTTTCAAGTTTCAAGCTGCTGCAGGATCTCGAGGTTTGAGTTTCACTTTGACACAAGTCGAGTTTTGCGGCTCAACAAATGTGACAAATTTCAACATTAATAATCGACGTAAATAATCAATAAAACAAATGTTCTGAAGGTTTGTAAATCCTTGTTCACATCAGTGACTCACATCTCACCTGAGGACTGTTACTGAACAGGGGGCGTGTCCTGGTGTTGATTGTGGGCGTGTCTTGTTATTGATCGTGGGCGTGTCCTGCTGTTGATTGTGGGCGTGTCCTGTTATTGATCGTGGGCGTGGCTTCTTGTTTCCAGGGTGATTACGTGTGCGACGGGGAGGCGTGGCCTGGGCGGGGCCTGTATGATGTCATCCTGTGTCTGGGCGTGGCCAAGTGGGTGCAGCTGCAGGGCGGAGACGAGGGCGTGGCCAGACTCTTCACACGAGCCTATCAGAGCCTGTCGCCGGGCGGATTATTCCTCCTGGAGACGCAGCCCTGGATCAGCTACTGCCACAGCAAGAGAGCCTCGGTAAGACCGAGTCTGGACCGAGTCTGGACCGAGTCTGGACCGAGTCTGGACCGAGTCTGGACCGAGTCTGGACCAGAGAGTCTGGACTGGACCGAGTCTGGACCGAGTCTGGACCAGAGAGTCTGGACCCGAGAGTCTGGACCGAGAGTCTGGACCGAGAGTCTGGACCCGAGCCCGGACCCGAGAGTCTGGACCGAGCCCGGACCCGAGAGTCTGGACCGAGTCCGGACCCGAGAGTCTGGACCGAGTCCAGACCCGAGAGTCCGGACCCGAACTTAGACCTGAGTTTAGACCAGATTTTGTTCGTACTGATGTGATGATGTCATGTGAATCTTTCTCTTCTCTCCTTGTCTCCTGTCTCCTTGTCTCCTGTCTCCTTGTCTCCTCTCACCTTGTCTCCTGTCTCCTTGTTTCCTAGGAGACGACCTTCAGAAAGTTCCAGACTCTTCGTCTTCGTCCAGAGAAATTCACTTCGTTTCTGACGGAGACGATCGGCTTCAGCTCCTACAGACTGCTCACCCGCGCAGGTGTGTCCCTGTCTGTCCCTGTCTCACCTGTCTCACCCGCGCAGGTGTGTCCCTGTCTGTCCCTGTCTGTCCCTGTCTCGCAGCCCGCGCAGGTGTGTCCCTGTCTGTCCCTGTCTCACCCGCGCAGGTGTGTCCCTGTCTGTCCCTGTCTCACCTGTCACCCGCGCAGGTGTGTGTCCCTGTCCACCGCGCAGGTGTGTCCCTGTCTGTCCCTGTCTCACCTGTCTGTGTCCCTGTCTCACCTGTCACCCGCGCAGGTGTGTCCCTGTCCCTGTCGCGCAGGTGTGTCCCTGTCTGTCCCTGTCTCACCTGTCTCACCCGCGCAGGTGTGTCCCTGTCTGTCCCTGTCTCACCCGCGCAGGTGTGTCCCTGTCTGTCCCTGTCTCACCTGTCTCACCCGCGCAGGTGTGTCCCTGTCTCACCTGTCTCACCCGCGCAGGTGTGTCCCTGTCTGTCCCTGTCTCACCCGCGCAGGTGTGTCTGTCTCACCTGTTGTCCCTCACTGTCTCCGCGCAGGTGTGTCCCTGTCTGTCCCTGTCTCACCTGTCGCACCCGCGCAGGTGTGTCCCTGTCTGTCCCTGTCCCCTGTCTCACCCGCGCAGGTGTGTCCCTGTCTGTCCCTGTCTCACCCGCGCAGGTGTGTCCCTGTCTGTCCCTGTCTCACCTGTCTCACCCGCGCAGGTGTGTCCTGTCTGTCCTGTCTCACCTGTCCGCAGGTGTGTCTGTCTGTCCTGTCTGTCACCTGTCTCACCCGCGCAGGTGTGTCCTGTCCCTGTCCCTGTCTCAGGTGTCCCGCGCACCTGTCTGTCTCACCGCCAGGTGTCCTGTCTCAGGTCCCTGTCTCATGTCCCTGTCTGTCCCTGTCTCCCTGTCCCTGCACTGTCCCTGTCTCACCTGTCCGCCTTCCGCAGGTGTGTCCCGCTGTCCTGTCTGTCCCGTCTCACCTGTCTGTCTCACCTGTCTCACCCGCGCAGGTGTGTCCCTGTCTGCTGTCACCCGCGCAGGTGTGTTCCCTGTGTGTGCCTGTCCCTGTCTCACCCGCGCAGGTGTCTGTCTGTTCCCTGTCTCACCCGCGCAGCCTGTGTGTCCTGTCTGTCCCTGTCTCACCCGCGCAGGTGTGTCCCTGTCTGTCCCTGTCTCACCTGTCGCACCCGCGCAGGTGTGTCCCTGTCTGTCCCTGTCTCACCCTGTCCTGTCTCACCCGCGCAGTGTGTCCCTGTCTGTCCCTGTCTCACCCGCGCAGGTGTCTGTCTGTCCTGTCGCACCCGGTGAGTCCCTGTCTGTCCCTGTCTCACACCTGTCACCCGCGCAGGTGTGTCCCTGTCTGTCCCTGTCTGTCATCTGTCCCTGTCTCCCGCGCAGGTGTGTCCCTGTCTGTCCCTGTCTGTCCCTGTCTGTCCCTGTCTCACCTGTCTCACCCGCGCAGGTGTGTCCTGTCCCTGTCTCCCTGTCTCACCCGCGCAGGTGTGTCCCTGTCTGTCCCTGTCTCACCTGTCGCACCCGCGCAGGTGTGTCCCTGTCTGTCCCTGTCTCACCTGTGTGTCCCTGTCTGTCCCTGTCCCGCGCAGTTGTCCCTGTCTGTCCCTGTCTCCGTGTCCCCCTGTCTCACCCGCGCAGGGTGTGTCCCTGTCTGTCCCTGTCTCACCGCGCAGGTGTGTCTGTCTGTCTGTGTCACTGTCCCTGTCTCACCCGCGCAGGTGTGTCCCTGTCTGTCCCTGTCTCACCTGTCTCACCCGCGCAGGTGTGTCCCTGTCTGTCCCTGTCTCACCTGTCCTCACCTGTCTCACCTGTCCACAGGAAACCCTCGGCCTGTTTACCTGTTCCACAAAGGCCCCACCCCCAGGAAGTGACGCGCTGTAATCGAGGGCTCTGATTGGCCGTGACCTTGGACTTTATGAACTGTCAAAGCAAAGCATCGTGGGAAATGAGGTCCCCACAGCGACAGGAAGTGACACGTCGGACTTTAACCAATCAGACGCTTTGACTGAAATGTGTGAAAATAAACGACTCGAAATAAAGAAAAACTCTGGTCTTGGTTTAGTCCTGGTTTAGTCTGGTTTAGTTCTGGTTTAGTCCTGGTTTAGTCCTGGTTTAGTCCTGGTTTAGTTCTGGTTTAAGTCCTGGTTTAGTTCCTGGTTTAGTCTGGTTTAGTTCTGGTTTAGTTCTGGTTTAGTCCTGGTTTAGTTCTGGTTTAGTTCTGGTTTAGTCCTGGTTTAGTGGGTCTGGTCTGGTTTAGTCTGGTTTAGTTCTGGTTTAGTCCTGGTTTAGTCCTGGTTTAGTTCTGGTTTAGTCCTGGTTTAGTTTCTGGTTTTAGTCCTGGTTTAGTCCCTGGTTTAGTCTGGTTTAGTCCTGGTTTAGTCTGGTTTAGTTCTGGTTTAGTCCTGGTTTAGACCTGGGTTGGTCTGGTTTAGTCCTGTTTAGTTCTGGTTTAGTCCTGGTTTAGTTCTTTAGTTCTGGTTTAGTCCTGGTTTAGTTCTGGTTTCTGGTTTAGACCTGGGTCTGGTCTTGGTTTAGTCCTGGTTTAATCCTGGTTTAGTTCTTGTCTCAAACTGAAACTCTCTGTTCCACGTTGTGATGTCATCATGTGGGACGTGCTCCTCTGTGTTTTTAAACTCGTCTTAAACCTTCAGTGACTCGAGTGAAAAGAACGAGTGAAGGAGACTCGGGTCGTAGCGAAGGAGACTCGGGTCGTGGCGAAGGAAGTGAGAGACGTAGCGAAGGAGACTCGGGTCGTAGCGAAGGAGACTCGGGTCGACTCAGGTCGTAGTGAAGGAGACTCGGGTCGTAGCGAAGGAGACTCAGGAGACTCTGGTCGTAGCGAAGGCGACTCGGGTCGTAGCGAAGGAGACTCGGGTCGTAGTGAAGGAGACTCAGGAGACTCAGGTCGTAGCAAACAACATCTTTTATTAATTTAGACATTTATTTCTTTAAATGTTTGAATATAAAGTCATGCAAAAGCCTCACCGCAAATGAACGACAGAACAGAGAAGAAGAGAGAGAAGAGGAGCAGTGAGGAAGAGAGAGAGGAGTGAGGGAGGAGAGAAAGGAGGAGCGGAGGAGTGTGAGAGAGAAGAGAGGAGTGAAAGAGGACAGGAGGAGGAGGAGTGAAGGAGGAAGAAAAGGAGGAGAGGAGGAGTGAAGGAGAAAAGGAGGAGTGAGAGAAGAGTAAGAGGGAGGAGAGTTGGAGTGAAGAAGAGAAGAGTAGAAGGAGTGGAGGAGGAGTAAAAGGAGGAGAGTGAGAGGAGGAGTGAAGGAGGGAGGACAGGAGGAGGAGTGAAGGAGGAGTGAGATGAAGAGGAAGAGTGAAGGAGGCGCTGATTTTCATCTCATGCTCGTTACAGTAAAAACAGAGTCACATGATTAAAATGGACCAATCAGAATCCAGGTGGAGTCATGTGACCTCGGGCCGTCTCAATCACATGGTGCAAAGCCTGAAAGCCGATTGGTTCAGGCCAAAGTACGAACATGAAGCTCATTGGGCGTTAAGACTGGCAGCGTCCAATCACACGGTCGCACAGAGTCACATGACCGGCTCATGCCTTTGAAGAATAAATAAATAAACAAATAAACACACGGCCCAGGCCCCGCCCACAAACACCTGAACCACAAACACCTGCCCACGTGCCCCGAAGCAACACACCTCCACTCTGCACTCTGCCCCGGGGCGACTGCGGCAACACCTGGTCCAGTCCAAATCAAGTCTCTGATTCAAAATACAGAGTCGAGTCCAGAACCAGAGACCAGGACTGGACCGGGTCTGGACCGGGTCTGGACCAGGACTGGACCGGGACTGGACCGGGACTGGACCGGGACTGGACCGGGACTGGACCGGGTCTGGACCAGGTCTGGACCTGTTTGATTCTCTGAGTGGTGTTGTGTCAGCAGGGCTGTGGTGGGACTGATAAAGTACTACTGCAGTACTACTGTAGTACTACTGTAGTACTGTTGTAGTACCCTTCAGGGTTCAGGGTCAGGGTTCAGGGTCAGAGGTCAGAGGTGGTGGTTCAGGGTCAGAGGTCGGGGGTCTGGGCGTTTTTAAAGTGATTTTCAGGTGAAGTGTTTAAGTGGTGAGTCCTCGACGCTCCAACTCCCGACTCTGCTTCAACTCCTTAATCCTGGAACACACACAGGGTTAGACCACGTTTAGACCTGGTCTAGACCTGGTTTAGTCCTGGTCTAGTCCTGGTTTAGTCCTGGTTTAGTCCTGGTTTAGTCCTGGTCTAGTCCTGGTCTAGTCTGGTCTAGTCCTGGTCTAGTCCTGGTCCTGGTTTAGTCCTGGTTTAGTCCTGTTAGTCCTGGTTAGTCCTGGTCTAGTCCTGGTTTAGTCCTGGTTTAGTCCTGGTTTAGTCCTGGTTAGTCCCTGGTTTAGTCCTGGTCTAGTCCTGGTCTAGTCCTGTTTAGTCTAGTCTGGTCTAGTCCTGGTCTAGTCCTGGTTTAGTCCTGGTTTAGTCTCAGACCTGTGTCTGCAGCGTCGCAGGAACCTCATGATCTTTCGAGCCGCTTGGTCCTGCTTCTTCGTCAGAAACGAACCCCTGAAAAAGGACACACTTTAGTCTGGGTCTGGGTCTGGGTCCTGGTCCTGGTCCTGGTCCTGGTCTCGGTCTCGGTCCTGGTACCTGGCGCTGGCGGCCCGCTGCTTCCTCTCGTACTCCTTGTAGCTCCTGTAGTACTGCTGGATGAGGACGGCGGCGCGGCGACTCTGCTGGAAACGCTTCTGTTCATAATACGAACGGAACTTGGACTGGATCAGGATCGCAGCCTGAGTCATCTTCTTATAGAGCGCGTACTGACGGAACACAACACGTTCTACTGTTAGAACCAACGGAACAACACGTTCTACTGTTAGAACCGACGGAACACAACACGTTACTGTTAACTGTTAGAAACTGACAGAACACAACACGTTCTACTGTTAGAACAACGACTGGAACACAACACGTTCTACTGTTAGAACCGACGGAACCACAACACGTTCTACTGTTAGAACGACGGAACACAACACGTTCTACTGTTAGAACACACTGTTTAGAAACACAACACGTTCTACTGTTGACAGAACACAACAACGACGGAACACAACACGTTCTACTGTTAGAACCGACTGTTAGAAACACAACACGTTCTACTGTTAGAACCGACGGAACACAACACGTTCTACTGTTAGAACCGACGGAACACAACACGTTCTACTGTTAGAACCGACGGAACACAACACGTTCTACTGTTAGAACCGACGGAACACAACACGTTCTACTGTTAGAACCGACACACAACACGTTCTACTGTTAGAACTGGAACGACGGAACACAAACGTTCTACTGTAGAAACCGACGGAACACAACACGTTCTACTGTTAGAACCGACAGAACCGACACACACGTTCTACTGTTTAGAACCAGAACTGACGGAACACAACACGTTCTACTGTTAGAACTAGAACACAACGTTCTACTGTTAGAACACAACAACGTTCTACTGTTAGAACGACGGAACACAACAACGTTCTACTGTTAGACTGACGGAACACAACACGTTCTACGGAACACAACACGTTCTACTGTTAGAACCGACAGAACAACAACCGACGGAACAACACGTTTCTACTGTTAGAACACGTTCTACGGAACACACAACACGTTCTACTGTTAGAACTGACGGAACACAACACGTTCTACTGTTAGAACCGACGGAACACAACACGTTCTACTGTTAGAACTGACAGAACACAACACGTTCTACTGTTAGAACTGACGGAACACAACACGTTCTACTGTTAGAACGACGGAAACACAACACGTTCTACTGTTAGAACCGACGGAACACAACACGTTCTACTGTTAGAACTGACAGAACACAACACGTTCTACTGTTAAACGACGGAACACAACACGTTCTACTGTTAGAACCGACGGAACACAACACGTTCTACTGTTACGTTCTACTGTTAGAACTGACGGAACACAACACGTTCTTACTGTTAGAACTGACAGAACACAACACGTTCTACTGTTAGAACAGAGAACACAACACGTTCTACTGTTAGAACTGACGGAACACAACACGTTCTACTGTTAGAACTGACAGAACACAACACGTTCTACTGTTAGAACAGAGGAACAGGAACACAACACATTCTAACAGCTGCCCCATGTGTCAGATACACACACACACACACACACACAGAACACACACACACACACACACACAGAACAACACACACACACACACAAACACACACACAGAACACACACACAGCACACACACACAACACACACACACACACACACACACACACAGAACAACACACACACACACACAGAACACACACACACACACACACACAGAACAACACACAACACACACACACACAACACACACAGAACACACACACACACACACACACAGAACAACACACACACACACAACACACAGACACAACACACACACACACACAGAACAACACACACACACACACACACACAGAACAACACACACAGACACACACACACACAGAACAACACACACACAGACACGGAGGGGGCGGGGTCAGGTCTAAAGACACGCCCACAGACAGATGTTACCTTGAGGGCGATCCAGGTGAGCTTCAGACAGGTGAGACAGGTGAGACAGGTGTTAGTACAGGTTAGACACACACACACACACACACACACACACACCAAAGCTCCTGTTACACTCTCATCAAGGGAATGTCCCACAGTGGAGCTTTAACCCTGTGCTAATGTCACACTCACTACCACAGACCACAGGGTTAGTCTCATCTGGGTCAGACCTGGTCCAGACCTGGTCCAGACCTGGTTTAGTCCTGGTCCAGACCTGGTCCAGTCCTGGTCCAGACCTGGTCCAGACCTTGTACCTGTTTGTATTTGCGGTAACACCTCTGGATCACTGCAGCTGCCATGTCCTGCTGCTCCTTCAGCCGACGCCCCTGAAACACAACACACATCAGGCCCGGTCTAGACCCGGTCCGGTCCCGGTCTAGACCCGGTCCGGTCCCGGTCCGGTACCTTGTATCTCCTGAAGGCGGTCTGGATGATCCTGGCCGCCTCGTACAGTTCTCTCTGTTCTCCGTCCGTGAGCGTTAACAGAGCGAAGTCTCGTTCTATCTTCCCATTGGCCGAGGCGTTCAGAAACTCCGCCCACGCGGCGGACGAGGGTGGGCGCAGGCGGTGCAGCGCCAGGGCGGAGAGCGGCGAGGGCGGGCACAGGCGCCTGAGCACAAAAGAGCAAAGCATCATGGGAGTCAGACAGAGGGGCTCTGTTACCACGGAGATGTCCCAGAAGACGGCATTAACCTGCTCTGACTGTTAATGCCACACTGCGGAACATTACAGCTCCACAGAGACCTGGACCTGGGGAAGTCCACTTTTAGACCTGATTCAGTCCTGGTTGAGTCCTAGTTTAGTCCTGGTTTAGCCCTGTTCGGATCTCACCTGGGCGGGTCAGTGGTCGGGTCAGTGGGTGGGTCAGTGGTCTCACCTGGGCGGGTCAGTGGGCAGGTCTGTGGTCTCACCTGGGCGGGTCAGTGGGCGGGTCAGTGGTCTCACCTGGGCGGGTCAGTGGGCGGGTCAGTGGGTCTGTGGTCTCACCTGGGCGGGTCAGTGTCTCACCTGGGCAGTGGGCGGGTCATGTGTCTCACCTGGGCGGGTCAGTGGGCAGGTCTGTGGTCTCACTGGGCGGGCAGTGGTCTCACCTGGGCGGGTCAGTGGGCGGGTCAGTGGTCTCACCTGGGCGGGTCAGTGGGCAGGTCTGTGTGGTCTCACCTGGGCGGGTCAGTGGGCGGGTCAGTGGTCTCACCTGGGCGGGTCAGTGGGCAGGTCTGTGGTCTCACCTGGGCGGGTCAGTGGGCGGGTCAGTGGTCTCACCTGGGCGGGTCAGTGGGCGGGTCAGTGGTCTCACCTGGGCGGGTCCATGGTCTCCAGGTAGGCTGCGAGCCAGGTGTCTTGTAGGTCCGGATTGTCCCGCCTCTCTCTGAGCGCTGACTCCGCCCCCCGGGGGAAATCCTCACGTTTGATTCGCTCAGGAGTCGCCTCGATGATCTGCTCCGCCAGCGCCGCCACGTCCACCTGCACGCCACGAGAGTCAGACGAAACACGAGAGTCAGACGAAACACGAGAGTCAGACCCCACCACCAGAGTCAGGTGCCCTCCCCGAGCGTCAGGTGCCCTCCCCGAGCGTCAGGTGCCCTCCCGTCCTCACCTGCAGCTCGTCGTCCTCCAGCAGTTCTTCGTTCTCGTTGTTTTCGCTCAGACTCAGGAGCTGCTCCAGAGACGAGTGCGCACGGCGGCCGGGAGCGTGCACGTGAGGGGACAGCGCACGGCGACCGGGAGCGTGCACGTGAGGCGGCGGCGAGTTCTCAAAGTCCATGAGGTGAGACTCCACCCCCCACAGCAGCCCCGGCGAATTGGACGGGGACTCCGGCGGCGAAGTGTCCATGGGAGCGGGGCCCACGCTGGAGTAGGCGGAGCTCAGGGAGGGAGAGGAGGCGGGGTCAAAGGGCGAGGGCAAACTGCTGGACGAGCTGAGGCGGCTCGACGAGCTCAGGCCTGGACAGAAGAATAATCAAGAGAAAAGTGACGGGTGTTTACCTCTCACCTGTCTCACCTGTGACACCTGTGTCTCACCTGTGTCTCACCTGTGTCACACCTGTGTCACACCTGTGTCTCACCTGTGTCACACCTGTGTCACACCTGTGTCTCACCTGTGTCTCACCTGTGACACCTGTGTCACACCTGTGTCTCACCTGTGTCTTTAGTCTCAACTGTGTCTTTAGTTTCACCTGTGTCATGTCTTTAGTCTCACCTGTGTCTCATGTCTCACCTGCGTCTCACCTGTGTCTCACCTGTGTCTTTAGTCTCAACTGTGTCTTTAGTCTCACCCGTGTCTCTTGTCTCACCTGTGTCTCTTGTCTCACCTGTGTCTTTAGTCTCACCTGTGTCTGTGTCACACCTGTGTCACCTGTGTCTCACCTGTGTCTTTAGTCTCACCTGTCTCATGTTTTACCTGTGTCTTTAGTCTCACCTGTGTCTCACCTGTGTCTCATGTCTCACCTGTGTCTCTTGTCTCACCTGTGTCTTTAGTGTCACCTGTGTCTTTAGTCTCACCTGTCTCATGTTTTACCTGTGTCTTTAGTCTCACGTGTGTCACCGGTGTCTCACCTGTGTCTTTAGTCTCACTTGTGTGACCTGTGTCTCACCTGTGTCTTTAGTCTCACCTGTGTCTCTTGTCTCACCTGTGTCTCACCTGCGTCTTTAGTCTCACCTGTGTCTCTTGTCTCACCTGTGTCTTTAGTCTCACCTGTGTCTTTAGTCTCACCTGTATCTCACCTGTGTCTTTAGTCTCACCTGTCTCATGTTTTACCAGTGTCTTTAGTCTCACGTGTGTCACCTGTGTCTCACCTGTGTCTTTAGTCTCACCTGTGTCTGTGTCTCACCTGTGTCGTGTCTTTAGTCTCACCTGTGTCTGTGTCTCACCTGTGTCACACCTGTGTCGTGTCTTTAGTCTCACCTGTGTCTGTGTCTCACCTGTGTCACACCTGTGTCGTGTCTTTAGTCTCACCTGTGTCTGTGTCTCACCTGTGTCTCATGTCTCACCTGTGTCTCTTGTCTCACCTGTGTCTTTAGTCTCACCTGTGTCTCACCTGTGTCTTTAGTCTCACCTGTCTCATGTTTTACCTGTCTTTAGTCTCACGTGTGTCACCTGTGTCTCACCTGTGTCTTTAGTCTCACCTGTGTGACCTGTGTCTCACCTGTGTCTCGTGTCTCACCTGTGTTTCTTGTCTCACCTGTGTCTCACCTGCGTCTCACCTGTGTCTTTAGTCTCACCTGTGTCTTTAGTCTCATCTGTGTCTCTTGTCTCACCTGTGTCTTTAGTCTCACCTGTGTCTTTAGTCTCACCTGTGTCTCACCTGTGTCTTTAGTCTCACCTGTCTCATGTTTTACCAGTGTCTTTAGTCTCACGTGTGTCACCTGTGTCTCACCTGTGTCTTTAGTCTCACCTGTGTCTTTAGTCTCACCTGTGTCTTTAGTCTCACCTGTGTGACCTGTGTCTCACCTGTGTGACCTGTGTCTCACCTGTGTCTTTAGTCTCACCTGTGTGACCTGTGTCTCACCTGTGTCTCATGTCTCACCTGTGTCTCTTGTCTCACCTGTGTCTTTAGTCTCACCTGTGTCTTTAGTCTCACCTGTGTCTTTAGTCTCACCTGTGTCTCTTGTCTCACCTGTGTGACCTGTGTCTCACCTGTGTCTGTGTCTCACCTGTGTGACCTGTGTCTCACCTGTGTCTCTTGTCTCACCTGTGTCGGGGCTGGTGGACAGGGGCGACAGGGCCTGGGGGGAGTCCAGGGACAGGGACAGGTCTCTGGGTTCTGGTCTCAGCAGGTCTGGGAGAGTCAGGTGAGGTTCCTCCAGGTCCACACTGATGCTGCTCTCCTCTTCCTCCTGCTCTTCCTCCTCCTCCCCTTCTCTCCTCCTCTCCCTCCCCTCCTCTTCTCTCCTCTCCTCCTCCTCCTCTTCCTCCTCTTCCTCTTCCTCTTCCCTCCTCCTTTCCGTCGTCTCTTCTTCTGCCTTCAGTTGTTTTTCTTGTCCGCTCTGTTGTGTGTTGGAGCTTCTCTTTCTGGTGGTTTGCTCCTCTGTGGCTGTGGTCTCCTCCTCAGGTCTGTCCCCCCTGACCCCCCCTGAGGCGTGAACCCCCCCTCCTGAGGCGTGACCCCCCCCGTGGACCCCCCCTGAGGCGTGAACCCCTCCTGAGGCGTGGACCCCCTCCTGAGGCGTGAACCCCCCCTCCTGAGGCGTGAACCCCCCCTCCTGAGGCGTGGACCCCCCCTGAGGCGTGAACCCCCTCCTGAGGCGTGACCCCCCTCCTGAGGCGTGGACCCCTCCTGAGGCGTGGACCCCCCCTGAGGCGTGGACCCCCCCTGAGGCGTGGACCCCTCCTGAGGCGTGGACCCCTCCTGAGGCGTGGACCCCCCCTGAGGTGTGCATCCTCTCCAGAGCCGTAGCGAGCCTGGTGTGGCCCCTGGAGCGAGCCACAGCCAGAGGGAGCCGTCCCAGAGAGTCTGGGATCCCCAACGCAGAACTGCTCCAAGAATACAACAACTCTGCAGACGCCTGATGCCCCAACGCACACGCCCACATCTGTAACACAACACACACACATCTGTAACACAACACACACACATCTGTAACACAACACACACATCTGTAACACAACACACACACCTGTAACACACACACATCTGTAACACAACACACACACACATCTGTAACACACACATGTGTAACACAACACACACACATCTGTAACACACACACACACACACGTGCAACACAACACACACACATCTGTAACACACACACACATATCTGTACACACAACACACACACATCTGTAACACAACACACACACATCTGTACACACAACACACACACATCTGTAACACAACACACACACATCTGTAACACAACACACACACATCTGTAACACACACTGTGTAACACAACACACACATCTGTAACACACACACACACATCTGTAACACAACACACACATCTGTAACACAACACACACACATCTGTAACACAACACACACACATCTGTAACACACACATCTGTAACACAACACACACACATCTGTAACACACACACACACACACACATCTGTAACACAACACACACACATCTGTACACACACAACAACACACACACATCTGTAACACAACACACACAACACACACCTGTAACACAACACACACACATCTGTAACACACACATCTGTAACACAACACACACATCTGTAACACAACACACACACATCTGTAACACAACACACACACATCTGTAACACACACATCTGTAACACAACACACAAACACACATAACACACACATCTGTAACACAACACACACATCTGTAACACACACACACACATCTGTAACACAACACACACACACACATCTGTAACACAACACACACACATCTGCAACACATACATCTGTAACACAACACACACACATCTGTAACACAACACACACTCATGTAACACAACACACACATCTGTGTGTGTATGTATGTGTTGTGTGTGTATATGTGTGTTGTGTGTGTGTGTATATGTGTGTTGTGTGTATATTGTATTGTGTATTGTGTGTTGTGTGTATGTTGTATATTGTGTGTATATTGTATGTGTGTTGTGTGTATATTGTGTGTGTGTTGTGTGTATATTGTATGTGTGTTGTGTGTATATTGTGTTGTGTGTGTGTTGTGTGTGTCCTGTGTGTTGTGTGTATATTGTGTTGTGTGTATATGTTGTGTATATTGTATGTGTGTATATTGTGTTGTGTGTATATTGTGTGTATATTGTATATTGTGTGTGTGTTGTGTGTGCATTGCGTGTATATTGTATGTGTGTTGTGTGTATATTGTGTTGTGTGTGTTGTATATTGTGTGTATGTTGTGTGTTGTGTGTATATTGTATGTTGTGTGTATGTTGTATATTGTGTATGTGTGTTGCGTGTATATTGTATGTGTGTTGTGTGTATATTGTATATTGTGTGTGTGCTGTGTGTTGTGTGTATATGTTGTGTATATTGTATGTGTGTATATTGTGTTGTGTGTATATGTTGTGTATATTGTATGTGTGTATATGTGTGTATGTTGTGTGTATATGTGTGTATATGTGTTGTGTGTATATTGTGTTGTGTGTATATGTTGTGTATATTGTATGTGTGTATATTGTGTTGTGTGTATATGTTGTGTATATTGTATGTGTGTATATTGTGTGTGTGTATGTATATTGTGTGTATATTGTGTGTATATTGTGTTGTGTGTATATGTTGTGTATATTGTGTTTGTGTTGTGTGTATATGTTGTGTATATTGTATGTGTGTATATTGTGTGTGTATGTATATTGTTGTGTATTGTGTGTATATTTGTGTTGTTTGTGTATATATTGTGTGTTGTATATTGTGTATATTGTGTTGTGTATATGTTGTGTATATTGTGTGTATATGTGTGTATGTATGTGTGTGTGTGTGTGTTATATGTTGTGTGTATATGTGTATGTGTGTGTATATGTGTGTTGTGTTGGTGTATATTGTGTGTATATTGTTTGTGTGTATATATGTGTGTATTGTGTATGTGTGTATATGTGTGTATATGTTGTGTATATTGTGTTGTGTGTATATGTTTGTGTGTGTTTGTATTTGTGTTGTGTGTATGTGTGTATATGTTGTGTGTATATTGTATGTGTGTATATGTGTGTATATTGTGTGTATATGTGTGTTGTATATTGTGTATATTGTGTATATTGTGTGTATATGTGTGTATTGTGTATATTGTGTTGTGTGTATATGTTGTGTATATTGTATGTGTGTATATTGTGTGTGTATATTTGTGTATATGTGTATGTGTGTGTATATGTGTATATGTTCGTGTGTATATTGTGTGTATATTGTGTGTATATTGTGTTATTGTATATTTGTGTGTATATTGTTTGTGTGTATATTGTGTGTGTGTAGTGTTGTGTATATTGTGTGTATGTGTGTGTGTGTAATGTGTGTATATTGTGTGTATATGTGTTGTTGTGTGTATATTGTGTGTGTGTTATGTGTGTATTGTGTGTATATTGTGTTTTGTATGTTGTGTGTATATGTATTGTGTGTATATTGTATGTGTGTATGTGTGTGTGTATATTGTGTGTATATTGTGTGTGTGTATATGTATATAATGTGTATATGTGTGTATATTGTGTGTATATTGTATGTGTGTATATTGTGTTGTGTGTATATAGTGTGTATATTGTGTTGTGTGTATATTGTGTTGTGTGTATATGTTGTGTATATTGTGTGTATATTGTGTTGTGTGTATATGTTGTGTATATTGTATGTGTGTATATTGTGTTGTGTGTATATTTGTGTATATTTGTAGTGTGTATGTTGTGTATATTGTGTGTATATTGTGTGTATATTGTGTATATGTGTGTTTGTGTGTATATTGTGTGTATATTGTGTTGTGTGTATATGTTGTGTATATTGTATGTGTGTATATTTGTGTGTGTATATTGTGTATATGTTGTGTATATTGTGTGTATATTGTGTTGTGTATATTGTGTGTATATTGTGTGTATATTGTGTGTGTGTGTATATGTGTGTATATGTATGTGTGTATATTGTGTGTTGTGTTGTGTATGTATATTGTATGTATATTGTGTGTATATTGGTGTGTATTGTATGTGTGTATATTGTGTTGTGTGTATATAGTGTGTATATTGTGTTGTGTGTATATGTTGTGTATATTGTGTGTATATGTGTGTGTGTATATGTTGTGTATATTGTGTGTATATTGTGTTGTGTGTATATGTTGTGTATATTGTGTGTATATTGTGTTGTGTGTATATTGTGTATATGTGTTGTATATTGTTGTGTGTATATATTGTGTTATATTGTGTTGTGTGTATATTGTGTGTATTGTGTTGTGTATATGTGTGTATATTGTGTTGTGTGTATATGTTGTGTATATGTGTGTATTTGTGTGTTGTATATGTGTTGTGTGTATATTGTGTGTATATTGTGTGTATATTGTGTGTGTATATGTTGTGTATATATGTGTATTGTGTGTATATGTGTGTGGTGTGTTGTATGTATATGTTGTGTATATAGTGTGTATATTGTGTGTGTGTATATTGTGTGTATATTGTGTTGTGTGTATTGTGTATGTATATGTGTATATGTGTGTATTGTGTGTATATTGTGTGTTGTATATTTGTGTATATGTGTATATGTGTGTGTTGTGTATATGTGTGTTGTGTGTATATTGTGTGTATATTGTTGTATGTGTGTTATATGTGTTGTGTGTATATGTTGTGTATATTGTGTGTATATTGTGTTGTGTGTATATGTTGTGTATATTGTATGTGTGTATATTGTGTTGTGTGTATATAGTGTGTATATTGTGTGTGTATATTGTGTGTATATAGTGTGTATATTGTGTTGTGTGTATATGTTGTGTATATTGTGTGTATATTGTGTTTGTGTGTATATTGTGTTGTGTGTATATGTTGTGTATATTGTGTGTATATTGTGTTGTGTGTATATGTTGTGTACCAGGGGGGTGCAGGAGAAGTGATCCACGTTCAGAGGATCCACTTCTTGTTCCAGGTCCAAACTGTTTCTGTGCAGCGTCCTGAAACAAACACACATTTAAACCAGATGCCCTTCCTCACTGACAGCACCAAACCAGGACTAGCCCTGGCCTGGTCCCGGTCCAGCCCCGGTCCAGTCCCGGTCTAGTCCCGGTCCGGCCCTGGCCTGGTCCCGGTCCAGCCCCGGTCCAGCCCCGGTCCAGCCCCGGTCCAGTCCCGGTCTAGTCCCGGTCCGGCCCTGGCCTGGTCCCGGTCCAGTCCCGGTCCAGCCCCGGTCCAGTCCCGGTCCGGCCCTGGCCTGGTCCCCGTCCAGTCCCGGTCTAGTCCCGGTCCGGCCTGGCCTGGTCCGGTCCAGTCCCGGTCCGGCCCTGGCCTGGTCCCGGTCTAGTCCCGGTCCAGTCCCGGTCCGGCCCCGGCCCGGTCCCGGTCCAGTCCCGGTCCGATCCGTACCTCCAGTGGATGAGGGTGTGGATGAGGTGGGTGTATCCCTGGGCAGCCGCCAAATGCAGCAGGGTCATTCCTCTGTGACACGGCGCCCGGTGGAGCCTGTCCCCGCCCCCTTCGACCGAAGCCCCGCCCCTGGGGTCTAAAACTCCGCCCCCGTCGGCCGCGGTCACACGAGTCGACGTCCAGCAGGCGCTCTTCATCATGCGCTCGCACAACCCCACGATGCGCTGCTCAAACCACTGAGGAAGACCAGAGGTCAGAGGTCAGAGGGGTCACCTGTACTGCACCTGTACTACACACCTGTACTGTACCACACACCTGTACTACACACCTGTACTACACACCTGTACACACCTGTACTGTACTACACACCTGTATGGTACTACACACCTGTACCACACACCTGTACTACACACCTGTACTGTACTACACACCTGTACTACACACCTGTACACCTGTACTGTACACCTGTACACACCTGTTACTACACACCTGTACTACACACCTGTACACTGTACGTAACTACACACCTAACACTACACACCTGTACTGTACTACACACCTGTACACACACCTGTACTACACACCTGTACTGTACTACACACCTGTACTACACTACACACCTGTACTACACACTGTACTGTACTACACACCCTTACTGTACTACACACCTGTACATACACACCTGTAGCCTGTACTGTACACACTGTACTACACACCTGTACACACTGACTGTACCTGTACACACCTGTACTACACACCTGTACACTGTAACACTGTACGACAACCTGTACTGTACTACACACCTGTACTACTACACACCTGTACTGTACTACACACCTGTACTGCACCTGTACTGCACACCTGTACACACTGTACTACACACCTGTACTACTGCACACCTGTACTACACACCTGTACTGCACACCTGTACTGTACTACACACCTGTACCTGCACCTGTACTGTACTACACACCTGTACTGTACACACACCTGTACTGTACTACACACCTGTACTGTACACACCTGTTACTACACACCTGTACTACACACCTTACACACCTGTACTGTACTACACACCTGTACTACACACCTGTACTACACACCTGTACTACTACACCTGTACTGTACTACACACTGTACTACTGTACTACACACCTGTACTGCACACCTGTACTGTACTACACACCTGTACTACACACCTGTACTGTACACTACACACTACACACCACCTGTACTGCACAGGTACTCTGTACACCACCGGTACCTGTACCCGACACACCTTACACCACACTGCACCCTGTCTAACTCCGCCCCTGCGCCTGACTCACACAGTAATACCACACCTGTTAATCATGTGCTCGTACAACACGATGCACCTGTAAACCACCTGTATAGACATCACCTGTACACACTCACCTGTACTGACCTGTACTTACACCTGTACTGTACCACACACCTGGTACTGGTACTACAGCACACCTGTACAACTGTAACTACAACAAACACCTGTACTTACTACACACCTGTACTGCACCTACACCTGTACTACACACACCTGTAACACACCTGTACTATACACCTGTGCTGTACTACACACCTGTTACTACGACACAACCTGTTATACATACACTAACACACCTGTACTGCAAACACTGTACTACCTGTACTGACACACTCTGTACTGATACCACATGGTACACCTGTACACTTACTACACACCTGTACACACCTGTACTATACACACCTGTACTGTACACTACAACACACTACACCTGTACTGTAACACAGCCTGTCCTGTACTACACACATACTGCTACACCTGTACTGTTACACACCTGTATTGTACTACACACCTGTACTGTACACACCTGTACTGTACACACCACTTGTAACTACACACCTGTAAACACCCACCTGTACTACAACACCTGTACAATAACACACCTGTACTACACACCGTACTACTACACACCCGTATGTACTGTGACTACTACATCACCCTGACTACACACCTTACTACACCACCTGTACCACAACCGTACTACACACCCTGTACTGTACTACACCCTGTACCACACACCTGTATTGTACTACACACCTGTACAGAAATGTACAAATAAATTTGCATAACTCATTTATATGCAAAACTTTTCTAACCTGCTGCGTCTGCCCGGGCACAGAGGCGGGCAGACTCGGGGGCAGACTCGGGGGCAGACTCGGGGGCAGACTCGGGGGCAGACTCGGGGGCAGGGGCAGCTGTGTGCCCTGTGTGCCCGGGTGCTGTTGGTGGTACTGTGTTTCTCTGGAGGACATCTGTGCCATCCTGCGCTCCATCTGCTCCAGACGCTCCAGGATCGACATCCGGAACTGATTATCTACAAAACACACACACGTCACACACACACGTATCACACACACGTATCACACACACACACGTATCACACACACGTATCACACACACACGTCACACACACGTACCACACACACGTCACACACACACACGTCACACATCGTATCACACACGTAAACACACACACACCACACACACACACATCACACACACGTCACACACACACACGTCACACACACACGTCACACACACACATACACCGTATCACACACACACGTCACCACACAACGTCACACACATCACACACACGTACACACGTCAACACGTCACACACACACGTCCACTATCACACACACACACACACGACACACACACACACACGTATCACACACACACGTCTCACACACACACACACACGTCACACACACACGTATCACACACACGTCACACACACGTCACATCACCACACCACACACACGTAATCACACACACAGTCACACACACACACACACGTACACACCTCACACACAGTCACACCACACGTCACACACACACACACACACACGTATCACACACACGTCAACACACACACACCACACACGTCACACACACGTATCACACACACACACGTCACACACGTACACACACACGTATCACACACACGTATCACACACACACGTATCACACACACGTATCACACCACACACACACACACGTACACACACCACACACACGTATCACACACACACGTCACACACACACACACACACACACGTATCACACACACGTATCACACACACGTATCACACAACACACACACACGTCACACACACGTATCACACACACGTCACACACACACGTATCACACACACACACGTCACACACACGTATCACACACACGTATCACACACACACACACACACGTCACACACACACACACACACGTCACACAGTCACACACACACACGTCACACACACACACGTCACACACACACGTCACACACACACACACACGTCACACACACGTATCACACACACACACGTCACACACACACACACGTCACACACACACACGCACACACACGTCACACACACACGTCACACACACACACACGTCACACACACGTCACACACACGTCACATCACACACACACACGTCACACACACACGTCACACACACACACACACACACACACGTCACACACACACACACACACACACACGTCACACACACACGTCACACACACACACACACGTCACACACACGTCACACACACACGTCACACACGTCACACACACGTCACACACACGTCACACACACGTCACGTCACACACACACGTCACACACATGTCACACACATGTCACACACACACGTCACACACAGCTCCACCCCCGCCCCCCTCACCGTCCAGGGAGAGCCAGTCCAGTTGGGCGCTGGGGAGGGAGTTGGCGTTTCGGGCTCTGTACTCGAACAGAACCGAGGACGAGGCAGAACCTCCGGCCTCCAGAACCTGCAGACAGACCAGCCCGGCCTCGTGCGCTGACGAGAACAGAACCAAACACACACGGGTCAGAACCAAACACACACACGGGTCAGAACCAAACAACACACGGGTCAGAACCAAAACACACACGGTCAGGTCAAGAACCAAACACACACGGGTCAGTCAGAACCAAACACACACGGGTCAGAAACACACACGGGTCAGAACCAAACACACACGGGTCAGAACCAAACACACACACGGGTCAGAACCAAAACACACACGGGTCAGAACCAAACACACACACGGGTCAGAACCAAACCCAAACACACACGGGTCAGAACCAAACACACACGGGTCAGAACGGGTCACCAAAACACACACGGGTCAACAAACCAACACACACACGGTCAGAACCAAACAACACACACGGGTCAGAACCAAACACACACGGGTCAGACACCACAACAAACACACACGGGTCAGAACCAAAACACACACGGGTCAGAACCAAACACACACACGGGTCAGAACCAACGGGTCACACACACACGGATCAGAACCAAACACACACACGGGTCAGAACCAAACACACACGGGTCAGAACCAAACACACACACGGGTCAGAACCAAACACACACGGGTCAGAACCAAACACACACACGGGTCAGAACCAACACACCAGCACACACGGTCAAAACAAACAACACACACGGTCGAAGAACACAACACACACACGGTCACCACACACAGAACCAAACACACACAACGGGTCAGCAGAACCAAACACACACGGGTCAGAACAACACGACAGAACACACAAACCAGAACCAAACCACACGGGTCAGAACCAAACACACGGGCAGAAGGTCAACAGGGTCAGACCAACACCACAGGGGCAGAGGGCAGTAGTAGTATGGGGCAGTTGGGGCAGTAGTAGGGCAGTAGGGCGCAGTAGTAGGGGCAGTAGTAAGTAGGAGTTGGGCAGTTGGGGCAGAGGGCAGTAGGGGAGTAGGAGCAGTAGTAGGGACAGTATGGGGCAGTAGTAGGAGCAGTAGTAGGGCAGTTGGGGCAGTAGTAGGGGCAGTATGGGCAGTAGTAGGCAGAGGTAGTAGGGGGCAGGCAGTAGTAGTAGGGCAGTAGTAGGGCAGTAAGGCAGTAGGGCAGTAGTAGGGACAGTATGGGGCAGTAGTAGGGAGCAGTAGTAGGGGCAGTTGGGGCAGTAGTAGGGGCAGTATAGGGCAGTAGTAGGGGCAGTAGTCAGGGGGCAGTAGGGGCAGTTTTACCGGGGCAGTAGGAGCAGTAGTAGGGGCAGTTGGGGCAGTAGTAGGGAGCAGTAGTAGGGGCAGTTGGGGCAGTAGTAGGGGCAGTAGGGGCAGTAGTAGGGCAGTAGGAGCAGTAGTAGGGGCAGTTGGGGCAGTAGGGGCAGTGGCAGTTTTACCGGGGCAGTAGGAGCAGTAGTAGGGGCAGTTGGGGCAGTAGTAGGGAGCAGTAGTAGGGGCAGTTGGGGCAGTAGGGGCAGTATGGGCAGTTAGGGGCAGTAGGAGCAGTAGTAAGGGCAGTTGGGGCAGTAGTAGGGGCAGTAGGGGCAGTTTTACCGGGGCAGTAGGAGCAGTAGTAGGGGCAGTTGGGGCAGTAGTAGGGGCAGTATGGGGCAGTAGTAGGGAGCAGTAGTAGGGGCAGTAGGAGCAGTAGTAGGGGCAGTTGGGGCAGTAGTAGGGGCAGTAGGGGCAGTTTTACCGGGGCAGTAGCAGCGCAGGACTCCAGGTTGAATCAGAGACGCAGGAACCAAACTCTGGTCAAAGACACAAGAATAACGTCCAGAAGATTCACTCCACGAACCCGTGATGAGAACTTTTACCCCACCCTGAGGAGAGAGGGGCAAAAACACAGACTGTTACCCCGCCCTGAGGAGAGAGGGGCAAAAACACAGACTGTTACCCCGCCCTGAGGAGAGAGGGGCAAAAACACAGACTGTTACCCCGCCCTGAGGAGAGAGGGGCAAAAAACACAGACTGTTACCCCGCCCTGAGGAGAGGAGGGGCAAAAACACACCCCTGGCACCCCTGAGGAGAGAGGGGCAAAACACACAGACTGTTACCCTGAGGAGAGAGGGGCAAAAACACAGACTGTTACCCCGCCCTGAGGAGAGAGGGGCAAAAACACACAGACTGTTACTCCCTGTTACCCTGGAGGAGAGGGGCAAAACAAAGACTGTACCCGCCCTGAGGAGAGAGGGCAAAAACACAGACTGTTACCCCGCCCTGAGAGAGAGGGGCAAAAACAGACTGGACCGCCCTGAGGAGAGAGGGCAAAAACAAAGACTGCCCGCCCTGAGGAGAGAGGGGCAAAAAACACAGACTGTTACCCGCCCTGAGGAGAGAGGGGCAAAAACACAGACTGTTACCCCGCCCTGAGGAGAGAGGGGCAAAAACACACAGACTGTTACCCCGCCCTGAGGAGAGAGGGGCAAAACACACAGACTGTTACCCCGCCCTGAGGAGAGAGGGGCAAAACACACAGACTGTTACCCCACCCTGAGGAGAGAGGGGCAAAAAACACAGACTGTTACCCCGCCCTGAGGAGAGAGGGGCAAAACACACAGACTGTTACCCCGCCTGAGAGGGGCAAAAAACAAAGACTGTTAACACAGACTGTACCCCTGAGGAGAGAGGGCAAAAACAAAGACTGTTAAGAGGAGAGAGGGGCCTGAGGAGAGAGGGGCAAAAACAAAGACTGTTACCCGCCCTGAGAGAGGGGCAAAACACAGACTGTTACCCCGCCCTGAGGAGAGAGGGGCAAAAACACACAGACTGTTACCCCGCCCTGAGGAGAGAGGGGCAAAAACACAAGACTGTTACCCCGCCCTGAGGAGAGAGGGCAAAAACACACAGACCCCCCTGAGGAGAGAGGGGCAAACACACAGACTGACTGAGGAGAGAGGGGCAAAACAACACAGACTGTTACCCCCCCTGAGGAGGAGAGGGGCAAAAACACAGACTGCCCTGAGGAGAGAGGGCAAAAAACACACAGACTGTACCCCGCCCTGAGGAGAGAGGGCAAAAACAGCACAGACTGTTACCCCGCCCTGAGGAGAGAGGGGCAAAAACACACAGACTGTTAGAGAGGGCAAAAAACACACAGACTGTTACCCCGCCCTGAGGAGAGAGGGGCAAAAACACAGACTGTTACCCCGCCCTGAGGAGAGAGGGGCAAAAAACATACCCCCCCTGAGGAGAGAGGGGCAAAAACACAGACTGTTACCCCGCCCTGAGGAGAGAGGGGCAAAAACACAGACTGTTACCCCGCCCTGAGGAGAGGAGGAGGTTGTTCGTACCTCGGGGTAGGACCACTCGGGGCTGAAGTCGGTGATGGCGGCGGTTCGCGGCGAGGGGCCGGGGTTTGGGAAGGGCAGGAAGGACGATGACGGCGTCGGAGTGGGCGGGACCATGTAGCGCACGCCGGCGGGAAACTGCGGTAACGAGGGCGTTAACGAGGGCGTTAACGAGGGCGTTAACGAGGGCGTTAACGAGGGCGTCAGAGCGGGCGTCAGCGAGGCCAGCGGAGGCGCCGGATTGGCCTCTTCGCCGATGAGGTCAGAGATGAGGTCGGGGAACGGCGAGTCGAAGGAGAGCTCAAGCCCCGCCTCCTCCACTGCGTCCGTATCCATGGAGACGGAGCGCTGAGGAGGCGTTTCCACGGAGACCACATCCGAACCACGACGACCACTCTCCTGCTTCACCTGCAACCAGAACCACAACTAAACCAAAACCAGAACCAGAACCAGAACTAAACCAGAACCAAACAGAACCAGAACAGAACTAGAACCAAAACAAACAGAAACTAAACCAAAACCAGAACAAACCAACCAGAACAACAAACCAAAACCAGACTAAAACCAGAACCAGAACTAAACCAAAACCAAAAAACCAGAACCAGAACCAGAACTAAACCAAAACCAGAACAGAACAAACTAAACCAGAACCAGAACTAAACCAAAACCAGAAGCCAGAACTAAACCAAGAACCAGAACCAGAACCAGAACTAAACCAAGACCAGAACCAGAACTAAACCAAAACCAGAACCAGAACCAGAACTAAACCAAAACCAGAAGCAGAACTAAACCAGAACCAGAACCAGAACTAGAACTAAACTAAGACCAGAACCAGAACCAGAACTAAACCAAAACCAGAAGCAGAACTAGAACTAAACCAAGACCAGAACCAGAACCAGAACTAAACCAAAACCAGAACCAGAACTAAACCAAAAACCAGAACCAGAACTAAACCAAACCAGAACCAGAACCAGAACTAAACCAAAACCAGAACCAGAACCAGAACTAAACCAGAAACCAGAACTAAACCAAAACCAGAACCAGAACTAAACCAGAACCAGAACTAAACCAGAACCAGGACTAAACCAGAACTAAACCAGAACCACAACTAAACCAAAACCAGAACCAGAACTAGAACTAAACCAAAACCAGAACCAGAACCAGAACTAAACCAAAACCAGAACCAGAACTAGAACTAAACCAGAACCAGAACTAAACCACAACTAAACCAGGACTAAACCAAACCAGAACTAAACCAGAACCAGGACTAAACCAGAACCAGAACCAGAACTAAACCAGAACCAGAACCAGAACTAGAACTAAACCAAAACCAGAACTAAACCAGACTAAACCAGAAAAACCAGGAACCAGAACCAGAACTAAACCAGAACCAGAACTAAACCAGGACTAAACCAGAACCAGAACTAAACCAGGTCTAAACCAGGACTAAATCAGGACTAAACGAGAACCAGAACTAAACCAGGTCTAAACCGGATCTGTACCAGGTCTAAACCCGGTCTAAACCGGGTCTGTACCTGGACTAAACCAGGACTAAACCAGGACTAAACCTGGTCTGTACCTGGACTAAACTGGGTCTATACCGGGTCTAAACCGGGTCTGTACCTGGACTAAACCGGGTCTGTACCTGGTCTAAACCGGGTCTACCTGGTCTAAACCGGGTCTAAACCAGGTCTAAACCGGGTCTGTACCTGGACT